ATATATATATATATATATTCTCATGAATTTATTATAAACAAGTACAAAAATAAGTTATTATATCTTATAATATATTTTAGGGTTATATACGTTTTTAGTTATTGATTTTTATCAAATTTTTTATTGAATAATTTTTTTTATTAACTTTAGTCTTCAAACTTTTATTGATTTTCACTTTTAATTCTTAAGTTTTTTCTCTATTAACATTTTGGTCCTTGACATAAAAAAAATTCTCATGGAGAAAACTTCCATAAACTAAAATCAAATAAAATTTATTCAAGGACTAAAAACAAAAAAATGACAAAAGTTTAGAAATTAAAAATATATTTAATGCTACATTTTATATAAAGTTCATATGAAAGATTAAAAAAAATGTATGTATATTCATAGTTATAAACTTTTCATCCATTAAGATTTCACCATTATTTTTTTTCTTCTGTACAAGATGTCATAGTGATATAGAGTATTAAAGCATATGGTGCATTTTATCTGATATACTATTTAAAGAAAAATTGCGATACTTATCTTGTCTCTTTATGGATTGTGTAGAAATATGCCAAATATGTTGGTCTTAAGAGGGATTTCCGACTAGTTGTACGAGGTGCTGCTCGTAACATGGTCCCTATTCTAAATGGGTCTGGTAAGTTATTATTATATATGCTATTTAAACAAAAATATCAAACTTCATTGAAAACTAACTTTTGAAATTTTGGATCACAATGTCACATTAGTTGTATTGAGAATCTATTCACTATATCTATCATTTACAAGTGGTGAAGTGGATATACACTATGAAATATAGCTTTAATTTATACCCATCTTTTGTTACCTGATAATTTATTGATAACTCAACTTCTGTAATTTTCTTGCAATATGTTTGGTTTTTTACTAACCTTTCTAATTCGTATTCTATGTGAATTATACTTTTGCATTCATGGTTTTCATGTCCTCCAGCAGTGTTGTAAAATGTTATTCTTTTGTTATTCAGCATCATCATACAATTAACATATATACATTTTTTAAAATGTATACAATCTTAATGTTATTGTATGTCCAATTATTTTAACATTACAAATGATCTTGTTAAATCAATTGCAAAAAAAATACTTGCACGGTGCTATATGCTCCCACCTAATGGGATCTAGAGAAAGTAAATGTATGCAGCCTTATCCCTGCAAACAGATAGGCTATTTCCCAGATTTGAACCTGTGAGCTTCAAGTCACAAGCTACCTAACTGTAGTGCCAAAACTCGTTCTCATTTACAAAAAAATACATAATTTTGAAAATTGGATGGTGGAAGATGCTATTCAATTTTAACCAATAAAACAGTGTAGCCAAACACAACTAACCCTATCTACTTGAATTCATATTTCAGAATTTAGATTTTTATTACAGGTATTTTTTCTTGCTCTTCATAATTGACCAAACTGAATTTGGAAGACTGACCTATAAACCTAAAAAAAATTTAAAATTAATCTATTAACAAGTAAACAGCAATTAGTAATATGTTAGCAAATAAAATTAAATAAATAATTATAAAAATTGCTATAATGATAAACCTGTAATATGTTAGATTCTTGTAACTTTGTTAACAAATATATTAATATATTGGCTGGGTATCTGGCATCTAGTAGCTCAGATTTGTGGGGATCAACTGGTTGGTAATTGCTCAAGACTTGGGAAGTAGAAGTTCACTAGACATTATGAGATTTTAATCCTATTTTTTCCCTTGTATTAGTTAGAAAGCTGCCGTAATTGCAGTTACCCCTTGCCCGCCTTAGATGCAGACTCTTTGGGAGCTGCCTTAATGGCAACTTCAAGAGTTGTGGTTTAGTCCCACATCAATTAGAGATGTGACTTAAATAAAACTTATAAAATTTGGATGGTCCTTACCTTATAATCAGTTTTGTGGGATTGAGTTAGGCCCTAAAACCAAATTCTATTAGTATCTGCTAGTTCATGATATGTATATAATGAGAGGATTAAAATTTTTGTTCTTTGCAGACACTGAGGTACTCATAATCAAAAGTCTGACGCACAGAGAAATCAATGCAGTTATAAAGGTGTGAACACATTCTTTGATAACTATTTCATTGGATGCTTTTTAGTATATGTACTCAATACAGATGGGAGCAACTGGATACTTACTAGGATAGATTTATTCACATCTTTTGAACTACCTTTTATGACCGACTATACCAAATCCAGTCTATCTCTTCCAAGGAATTGTACTACGTCGAGGTGCGAAAGGAACTGGAATGAAATCTATTGAGTTAGCGCTCTCCATGTGTGATATTATTGATATATATGGTTTCACTTTTGATCCAGGATATACCGAATGGTGGATTCTCTATTTTGATATTGATCATTTATTATATTATATTCCTGGTGTTTCTGTCACTGATACTCCAAATCTTCATTTTTAAATTATTTGTTTATTTATTTTGTTCATGTAAGGTTGTGATGCTATACTTTCAGACATTTTATCTTCCTTTTTTTCATTTATTTCTTATAGGACAAGATACTTCTCTAAGCCTAGGAAGGGACACAATCCACTTCAAGGAAGAGCATACTACCAACTTCTAGAATGCCTTGGGGTATTTATATTAATTATAAATTTCCACATAACATCGAATATATATATAGTGTGCATTTTATAATGTTTTTGGCTTTGGGTTTTGTTGTCAGGTAATCAGGATTCACTCCCCCATGAGATCTAAGAGGAGGGAAGACTGGGCAGATATACCTAGTAAAGACATGATAAGTCAAGCACATGCAGCAGCTTTGCACTTGAGAAAGAGTCAAACCGGTCAAGGTGGTGATTTGGGGCAGTTTGGCAATTGTAAGGTGTGGGGCAATGTGGATCCAGACAAAAGTGGACCTGTCTCAAGATCACCAGACATGAGTGATGTCAGGAAATATTCAAATTATAGTAAATGGGAAGTCATGCCTTTTGAGAGTTTGAGGAAAGAAGCACAGGATCATTATAACCAGATGCATGGGGTCTCTATATATAAAATGGATGGCAATAGGTTGGATGATTTAGTCTGTGTGAGACATTCCTTAAAATCTGAGGTGTAAATAAATGGTGTCTTTGTTGTTTATTGTTATTCTCGGATCACACCCAACTGTCTTCTAAATGGAACCTGGGATGAAGCTACTTTCTGGCAGCTGCTGACATAGCTCATCAAATTCAACAGTCGTTCTGCTTCTTCACTTATTGCAGTTATCAGAGCAGAATATCAACACCAAGTGAAAATGAGGAAGTCAATATGCATAATTTCACCGATCCAGATGGTAGGGGTCTAGAAATCACAACACATGAATTTTGACCTCAGAAGTTTGTTGTAACATTTATTCAGGTTTGGAATGGACAGTGCTTAGTCCTTAGTATGATAGATGTCTGTCTTTTATAATGTATTAATTGGCCAAAGAAATGTTGGCAGAAAACATTTTTAATCACAAGATTATATATGAAAGGTGATAGTCAGCTGCTCTGTGAAGTGGTTTTCAAATGATTTTCAGGAGTGTTTATTTTGTCGCTAATTTTTTTCCCCTTTATTCATGTTTTTCTCTTTTGTTCATCTTGCTATTGCGTCCTCTTTGGGCTTCTTTGCATAAACTTATTGCTTGACTTTGCCTTTTCACTTGTTTGCTCTAATGCTCGGTTAATAGTTGTTATCGTTCTACTTGAACGTTTAGTGTGTTTTTGTTTACCCGTTTCAGTCTGTTCCTACTTTCTAATACTCTTCCAATGTGAATCTTGGTCTCTATGGTAAGTCGCATTCACTGAACTGGATGACTATTCAAGCACATCTTTAAAAGTGGAATTTGCGTGATTATTTAGAGAACTGTTTTAGTGAATTTTTGCAGATAACTTGGATTAAGTAATTTGGACGGACTTGGTTTGAGGGAAGAATAATGTCTCTATGCAGCTGTATTAACGTTCATATATTATTGTTTCCATCCGAATGCAAGTTTTATTAAAATCCTTTTAAACAAGTATGAATTTATCTGATTAAACATTGTCAATTATAAAGTTTTGTAGATAAATAATACAGGAGATGCTCTAAATGCATTCCTTTAGCAGTTCAAAAACATGAATACGCGAGACCAAACAGTATTGTTTATCTGTCCACCTATTTATCTAAGTTGGTTTTACAACCAAACGTACAATGTGGAAGGCACAATCTATTTCCATATTTTTTGCAAACGAGAAAACAATTTCGTATGAAATGAATACCTTAATTAAGTTATCCATCAGCAAACACAAATTTGGCATTTTATTCCGCTGTATTCATCCTTAAAAATGATCTTACACGTAACACATTAGCCTATCACTTTTAATGCATGCAGTATTCCCCTGCCCTACTCCACGGAGGAAGAAATCAGGTAAGAATCAAGATGGAAAGCCTACTTGAAGAAAGGAACAAGATATATCCCAACTTTAATTTTATTAAACACATGCTAAACACGGATATTACTACTAAAGGTTGACAATTCCGAGTTTCTTTAACAGCAATACAAATGGAAGCTGTCAACGAAACTCAGATTTGTCAGGCATGGTAATCCGAGATAGTGCAGGTCGGTGGCTAACAAGTTTCACGGATTTTTGTGGGTTTTCTACGATTCTCCAAGCGGAGCTAATAACGATTTATTATAAAATTTATATAGTTTGAGGTTGTGTCTACTTATTATTATTCTATTATTTATGAGTAATTCAGATTTTTACGAGTAATTGAGATTTTTTATTTTCATGTAACCATAGTTCATAAAATCAAGAATTTTACTTTTTATGATGGATCATAGTCTTCTGTCACACTTCCATAATGAAGATATATTATGAAATTTATATAGTTTGAGACCGTAGTTGTTGATTATCATTTTATTATTTGTGAGTGATTGAAATTCCCTATTCTCATTCTCATGTAGCAATGATTTATAAGATCATGGATTTTACTTCTTGCAATTGAATTATAGTCCTCACTCACATTTTTAGAATAACATTTATCATGGAATTTATATAGCTTGGACTATCATTTTGATATCTATGAGTGAGATTCTAAATTCTCATTCTAATGCAAAAATAAGTCATAAAATCAGGAGTTTTACTTTCAACAATTGGACCATAATCCTGACTCTCTTTCAAAATGACGATTTATCGTGGAATTTATATAGCTTGAGACTGTAGTTATTAGTATTATTATGTTATTTGTGAGTGATTGAGATTCTTTATTCTCATGAAATAATGATTCATAAGATTAGGAGTTTTACTTCCAACAATTGGACCATTATCTTCAATCACTTCCAGAATGACGATTTATCATGAAATTTATATAACTTGAGACAATAACTACCAGGTCATTTTGCTATTTGTGAATAATTGAGATTTTTCATTTCTCATTTTCATATAGTGATGATTCATAAAATCAAAAATTTTATTTCCTACAATTAGACCATAGTCCTCACTCACATTGTCAAAATGACATATATTTTAAACTATCATTCTATTATTTGTGAGTGATTAAGATTTTCTATTCTCATTCTCATGCAACGATGATTTATAAGATTAAGCGTTTTACATCCTAGAATTGGACCACAATCTTCACACTTTTAGAATGGTAATTTATCATGAAATTTATATAGCTTGAGACCGTTAGAATGATAATTTATCATGAAGTTTATATAACTTGGAACTGTGATTAGTGACTATTATTTTTCTTATCTATGAGTAATTGAAATTTTTCATTCTCATTCTCATGCAACAATAATTTATAAGATCATCAATTTTACTTCCTACAATTGGATAGTCCTACTAATTGGAAAGAAAAAAAATTGTCTTTGTTGTTGATTACTTATTAATTTGGTCCGCATACTCCTCTACTTTGTCATTACTTATTCAGGTCGATTCTTTGAACACCTTTCCAAGAGACAGATAATTGTTGTTTTTTATTTCTTTAATTCTTAGCTTCCTTACTAATTAAAAAAAAATACTAAACAATGTAAGATAATGAAGAAAAAAAATACTAAACAATGTAAGATAATGAAAGGACGACATAAAACTAGCTCAACCAGTAGATATACTTATGGACAAAACCCTTCCAACAATTATTTAGAGTAAATTATATTAACACTTACAACCTTAACTCAGTCACTCTCCCTATCACCCTAGTCAGAGTAATAACAGCTGGAAATATGTGTGTAGAAGTGTACAAAATGGTCTGAATAAAAATCTAGGTGGAGCAGATATTTTTATATTACAATGATCAAAAAAGTCCAAGAGCTACATAAATATCTCGAGATGATGGAACCCTATACAGAAGACAACAACCTTATCCTAAACTAAACCTCAAATATCTCCCTCCATTCCACCCATTCCACTCTATAAATTGAAAACACTGCTCCTGGAAAGATAAACCAAACCTCAAACTCCAAAATGCAGACAGCCCTAACCTTGGCAGCCCCCAACGTTGTGCCTTTGGCACCCACAAAGAGTGTCTCCCATCTCACCACCTTCCCCACCAAGTTGAAAGTCCCACATCGCCTCTCTCCAATGAAGGTTGCGACCGTGGAGTATGACACTTCCACAGTGGACTACAACACTGCGTTCTCGTGAGCATTTTGTGTTCCCTGCTACATTCTCGCTTCGTGTTTGTTCATGTAAGATGAGATAACGAGGTAAGGTTGTTTGTGTTTCAGGGTGTTTCCGGCAGAAGCATGCGAAACTGTAGGAGGGGAAGCGTGCTTGGCAGAGATGTACCCCGAAGCCAGGCTGCAGCCTCAGGCCAAGAACGAGGCACCACGAGCTGCTACAGAGAACGTTGAGAGAGAGTATCTTGAATACAACGATCCCAAAACGTAACATCTACATCTTCTCTATTTAATCAATTTTATAAATTTTAGTGAGTCTTTGTATTCTACACATTTTAACGATTTTTCATATCAAAACATACCAAAAACAATAAATAATTATGATACATGTTTAAGATTTGTGGATGAGAATCCAAACATTGTGGATAAGCTTTGCGTACGTGTTTGCAGGGTATTTCGTGCAGAGGCTTGTGACGATCTTGGAGGAATTTTCTGTGAGCACGAGTATCAGAAGAGTGTGTACTAGAGGAAAGAGAAAACCCTCTTATCGCCATGCCTAAAACATTTTCCATATCTACTAGTATTCACTGTACATAGGTTAAGATCATGGATCTCACTTTATATTGAGTTTCCTTTTCGCTATAAATTTTACAGTAATCATACACTATATTTGGCACCTTTCACCCTTTCTTCTTTACTAATTTGAATATAAAATAAATGAGTATTACTCTATTTTGGGGGTATCATTGTCGAATTCTAAATTTTCTAATGCTAGTACAAGTAATTTGAATTTTATAGTTTTTTAATTAAAGATTGAGGCTCAATTCTTTCCTCGTACATAAACTTACAACTAGTGACATCATTTACCTACTAAATAAATTGGCTTTAAATATCTTAATTATAAAATTACCAAAAGTAATGTATATCTCTTAATTATAAAATTATCAATATATATAATATATTACTTTCAATTCATTTTTAACATAAATAATATTACTATTCAGTATTCAGTTTTGAGACTTTAGAAAATTATAAGTAAAGTTCTAAAATTAAAACAATCCGAAAAGATTGGTCTAGGTAAATGTAACTTTTTTTATATAAGTATCCATTGACACTTGAAGACTTTTTTCAACTGAAATTATCCCTAACTCAAATTTTAAATATATGAAAAATTACGATCTGTATTTAACATATGAAAAATTAATTAGCTGTGACACCGAAAATTGTAAGAATGGGGAAAATGTTTTTGGTTGTAATTTTCATCATTTTACATGTTCATGTATATAAAGTAAATTAAGATGCAATGTACTTGATTCTTAAGAAAAAAAAATCAAATTAAATAAAAGAGTAATGTAATTTAAACACGAGAAAGGAATATAATTTACAAAAACAGAAATGATGAATCATTCTATTCTTCGTGGAAAGTAAAAAAGACAACTTTTCTTTAATTTCATCCCATATGAACAAATCTACATGCATTGAACAAGAATGGATGGAGATGTGCCACGTCAGTTAGAGTGAAATAATTAATTTGATTAAATATGTGGAACTTGACAGAGGTTAAAAATAAAACAGCTCGAGACAATTAAGATGGCACCAAACAGAGTAATCTATTACAGCAACAAGTGCATAGGCATAGCTCGAGACAATTTAGTATTGTTCATATTCAAAATAATTGACATCAAGTGCATAGGCATAGCACCAAGGAAATCTTTGCCTTATCCATTCACGATCTCATAAATTGTAATCTTTCAACCTCGACTATAAATTTCATTTAAGGGCATCTCCAACAAAGAAATTTGAAGCTCTGTTATATCTTTAATAATATTTTATATTTTGCTGTAAAGCCATATCATCTTTTTTCTTCGCCTTGAATTAGTTCATACCAAGTAACCTCTCACCTGAAAAATTAAATCAGTTCAGTTTGTTCTATTTAAATTTACAGAACATGTTCTTCACTGTATACCAAATCATTTAATGAGTGCCAACAGTAAAATAGTTTAGGGTATAAAAGAGACAAAACATAGCTAACTAGTTCAATACTTCAATTATCTCATAACATATCATTACATAAACTTTTGAATATGATAAAACCTTACTTCCTCATTTCAAAGTAGAAACTATCTTGGTAATGTAAAAGACTAAAAAGACACTTTAGATCACAAAAGACCATACTTTTTGATCCCCAAAAACAGAGATAAACCAGACAGATAATTCACTTTTGCATAACCAATAAATACATATATTATTACATATATCATTTCACAGATCAAACTGAGACTAAAATGGAGAAACATGAAAAGTAGAAAAAAGGATTATGATGCCCTCATAATGTATAATTTTCAAATCAAAATAACATATTCAAAAGAAACAGAGTAATGAAAATGGTCAAATGAGAGTGCATACCCATTGAAATAAACGAACAGAATCTGAAAAAAGATTTGAACGACGAAAACATACTCATTTTGCAATGGATAAAAATTGTTACCCATTGTGGAAAAGGAGCGCAGTATGCTGACATCACAACCAAGCATGAAAATCCCTAAAATCTGGTCTCAAACATGCCCCCTACTGAACCATAACCCACACAAGAAACAGGAAGACGAAACTTCTAAGAAGAAAAGGAAGAACATTCAAAACGGAGAAATTAAAAAAAAAATTTGGACCATTTCTCGATTTGTGCGTGTCATCCTTGCGCAGGGGCCATGCTAATCTTCTCTGTATCGTTCCAATTTTATCGGATGTCCCCGAAGGGACAACGGTATTGCTGTGGCATCTACTTATAAACTCTAATATTATGTTAAGTTCAGGCGATGTGGGACTTGTGTGAGAAAGGAAACGAAACAATACGCAGTCCAAAGATGAACCAGCTGAAGCAAACAACGTTAAGGTAGTGTTTGTTTCTATGGATTTACTGTTCACGAGCAAAGAAAGGCGAAGAAACTTGTTGTTCGTTTCCGGTGATTTGCGACGACGAAAAGGCGAAAAAAAGGGGGGAGAAGCGTGATTCTTGTCCTCGCACAAAAACGAAGAAAACAGAAGAAAGCCACGTAAGATTTATAAAAACTCGAAAATGCCCCTTCGCATGCATGCGTAGTGTGCCATGCAGTAGAGGAAGCATATACAAAGGAAGCATAATCGATTATGCAAGGTTACATAATCGATTATGGCCTATCGATTATGTAGTCTTGCATAATCGATTATGCTTGACCACATAATCGATTATGCTGTATATATATACAGCATAATCGATTATGCTGTGTATATATACACAGCATAATCGATTATGCTGTGTATATATACACAGCATAATCGATTATGCTGT